TCAATAATTCAAACATGAGAAATGAGTTCAAATCTTCTGACAAATCTTTCAATTTATGGACGTTTTTTTTGTAAAGGTTTCTAATATAGAATAGTCTCTTCATTTTTTTGTTGCTTATAAAAGTTGTTTGCATTTCCACAGCAAACATTCATAATACCTAATGCAGGGATGAAGTTTTACGAAACAAAGACTGAAAACCAAGAGACGTATCGATCTGTGGCGCAACATTGTCTGCTAAATCCACCCTTTGTTTATAATAATTCCAAAAGGCTTTGTGCTAGGAAGGAGACAAGGAAAATCTTTTTCATGCGCAAGGAATATTCGATAGAAAACTTGTCGCGTTCTATTTGAATGTTGATGGTATTTATTTTACAAAATCAATTTTCATCAAACTGCAGATCTAACTAAAAGCCGCGTGGCGGTCATATATTTGTTTCTCTCAAGACATACGGTTCAACTCCGTAAATGAATGGGCAGCTGAATCGACATTTGCTTCCTCCTAGAGAATGGTACGGTGAGATAGTAATCCATCAAACAATGTTATTTGTGAAATAAACAACTTTAGATACTTCTGAGTTCCTTATCATTAAAATGAAGGTCCCATAGTAGGATTTAGCATGCATTTAACAAATGAAAGATGCAGTCTGTTCAGATTAGTATTCCACTTTTAACTCGCTTTAGAAACTTGTTTTTCTTCTTTTAGATACCACTAGCAGGGCTACCCGCTTTTGCCCGTGCATTATGTAAAAATAACAGTAATCTTCATATTTTGTTTCATTGTAATTGAATCATCTTTTTTTTTAAGATTTATACTCTGCGTTTTCTTTGTTTTTTCTATTGTTAAAATAAGTTTTTCTCGGAAAATATAATAAATAAATACATTATTAAATGAAGCCATTTCCGATATCAGCTTGGGATAGTCGGTAGTCTGTGGAGAGTTTTAAAAGAGGATGGAAAATTCTACATCGAAACCATTGGAATAGCAAAGATACCTTCCAAATTCTAAGCAAAATATTAAGGAACAGGAATATTTCGTTAGAAACAAGAAAAGAGTTTTGAACTGCTGTGTGATATTAATTGTTCTCTCTGGCAGTGAATTATGGACAATATCCTCATAGATGAAGAGGAGACTTGAGGCAATAGAGATGTAGTTTTGCTGAAAATATGAACGTGTGATTCCGTTTTAAGGAAAATGGAAACCAAAAGAACATGGAGGAGACGAAAGAGACAAATGAAGCAGGCCATCTTGCCGATTAGTTTGTGTGAGTGATTAGCTGAACGCGAGGTAGGAAGGTTGGCAAATAGTGAGAGCTACAAAGGGCAGAAAATTGTGGAGACTCAGGGTCACTCACATCCTGGAGGAGGAGGAGGAGGAGGAGGAGGAGAAGAAGAAGAAGAAGAAGAAGAAGAAGAAGAAGAAGAAGAAGAAGAAGAAGAAGAAATGAAGCCGTTTTTGTTTTAATTATTTTTAATAAAGTAAATCGTAATGTCATTTATTTTTAATATAATGTAAATCGAAAATTCTTAAATATTTTTATGCAAAATATTGGCGCACATCTATCGGGCCTTCATGACATTATTTCAACAGGTAATAGCTGGTATGTGAGCTCGTCGAACGAGGCATGTTTATAGGAAATGATTTACTCGACATTATTAACAAACCAAATTTCAAAGTCTAAAAAGTGAATTATTGGAATTATTTACTTTATAAAAAAAAAATCCTTAATAAATTACTTTTATTCGGTTATAAAAACTTATGTTTTTCTAGTGATGAGTAGTCTCGGTCCTGAACTGTTTCAGTTTTGAGTTGGCCCGGCGCTTATTCGGCGGTGTTGCGTTGGCGGAGTCGGCGGTGCTGAGTTGGTGATGTTAAGTCGGCGGTGTTGAGTTGCCCTACACCCCACCGAAATATTTCCCCAGTGATGTCTATTCCGTGGTAATAGAATTTTTCGGTCCTCCATGAGATCAACCGAGAACAATCTCTCGACTAACGTTCTGGCCTAGCTTCGGAATGATAGCAAGAATAATAAAGAATATTTGCCTAGGTAAATGAGTTTATAATAATAATTATTGGTAGAATTATTGAAATTATTTACTTTACAAAAAAAATAATCCTTAACAAATTACTTTTATTCGGTTATAAGAAAGTTACATTTTTTTTCTGGTGCTGAGTTGTCTCGGTTTAGAGTTGTCTCAGTCGTGAGTTTTCCTGTCGCTCAGTCAGAGGTGTTGAGTTGGCGGTGTTGAGTCGGCGGTGTTGAGTCGGCGGTGTTAAGTTGTCCTGAAACCCTTGTGTGGTAGAGGATTTTATGTTAAAATCGCCTCCCTAATTTTGTCTCTAACTCCATAGTCAGCTTTAAATCACGGTTACAAATGGGCCTTGGTTTTCTTTGGAATAATTGTTTCTGAAGATGGATCTGAGAAAGCAGAAGCTCTTCCTGGGCATAGTCAGTGTGGTGAAAACTTCTGTACCAAAACCGAGTATCCCCACAGCCCCAAAGAAGAAATCATAGAGAAAGTTGCAGTTGCAAGACAAGCTCCAGCTAGAGCCTTGAGCAAAATTATAAATGCATTTTCACCCTGTCACTGGTGTCAAATATTGGATTAAGCCATGATAATTTGACTTTCTTTTCCTTCTTGTAATTTCACTGAACACGCGATGCTGATTTCTCCAAGAACATTCTGATGGAAAGCATTGGGTTATATGATTGTTGATTGCTCTTCTAAGCCCTTCATATTATCTCAGTGGGTGGTATTTATTGGTGCACATCTATCGGGCCTTCATGATATTATTTCAACAGGTAATAGCTGGTATGTGGGCTCGTCGAACGAGGCGTGTTTATAGGAAATGATTTACTCGCCATTATTAACAAACCAAATTTGAAAGTTTAAAATAATACATTTGCATTTATCAATTTCTATCAATTTCTTTGAACTATTTTTTTATAGATGTAGCTGCCTTGCCCAATACGCCTGGGCCTGCAACCGCGTATTTTTTTACAATGTAATCAAATATGAATTCTTATGATATATTATTTAATTTAATTGACATATTTCCGACAATACCTTTCATTCCCTATATGTGTTTTACAACTGATTTTATAACAGTGCATATCCTACCAGAATCTTCGAACAGGTATTGTTAGCACGATTAGGAATTTATACTTTGTCTAACTAGAGATTATTTAAGCATAAGAAGTACGACAAAATTTGAAAGAATACCATTTCTTTTTTCCTTATGAATTTCATGGAATTCATTAATATTGTTTACACAATTAAAATTATCTTTTTTCTCTTAAATTCAGTTCCGAAATGAAAGTTGGATTTGTCAGGCTCTAATCTCTTTAAAGGTAATCACTATATCATCTATAACATCTTCTATTATCTATCTATCTATCTATCTATCTTCATCTATCCTATCTATCTGATCATTATCTATCTATCTATCTATCTATCTATCTATCTATATCTATCTATCTATCTATGATCATCTATCTATCTATCTATCTATTATCTATCTATTCTATCTATCTATCTATTTTCTTTCTACCTACCTAACTACGTACCTAATTCTGTTCATATATATCTTCCCATTATCAATGCATGTAATCATTTTCTGTCTGACTGTTATTCTACCTAATTTCTTTCTACCTACCTCCCAACCAACCTACATATCAAATTCTGTTCATATCTATCTGCACATTTTTTTCTAGCTATCTACCTATATCATTATTTTTATATCTATCTATCTATCTATCTATCTATCTATCTATCTATCTATGCTGATCATTCATTATCTATCTATCTATCTATCTATCTATCTATCTATCTATGCTGATCATCTATATTCATCATTCATTATCTATCTATCTATCTATCTATCTATATACTGATCATTCATTATCTATCTATCTATCATATCTATCTATCTATCTATCTATCTATCTATCTATCTATCTATCTATCTATCTATCTATGCTGATCATTCATTATCTATCTATCTATCTATCTATCTATGCTGATCATTCATTATCTATCTATCTATCTATCTATCTATCTATCTATCTATCTATCTATCTATCTATCTATGCTGATCTCTTCATTATCTATCTCTATCTATCTATCTATTTCTATTTTTCATTCATTATCTATCTATCTATCTATGCTTTCCATCTAAGAATTTTTTTTTTCTTTCTTTCTTACTTTCCATCTATCTATCTATCTATCTATCTATCTATCTATCTATCTATCTATTTTATTTCTACTTATCTACTTATATAATTCTTTTTCTATCTATCTATCTATCTATCTATCTATCTATCTATCTATATCTATCTACCTATCTATCTATCTGGTCATTTTCTTTATACCTACCTACTTTCTACCTATATAATCCTTTTCATATCTATCTATCTATCTATCTATCTATCTATCTATCTCTGTTTCAGTTTATCTTGTGTTTATTTTACTTATTTAGCACCTACGTGTATGAGATTCTCAAGCAGAAATGTATTAAACTTTCCATATAGCTAAGTAAATTAAATCAAAGTTTCAACACTGGAGGCAACTTCTTTTTACGAATATATGTGTCGATTTTTTTTTTAATAAATTTACGTGCAGGAATGACAATAAATTATCCTGATATCATGTTCCGGTCCCTTTCGAAATATCTTTCACACCGGCATAAGTCTCTCTTTCTCTCACGCACATGTACTTTCTCTCCCAAACTCTCTTTTTTTCTCTTTTTATACTCACACCTACAAAATATTTCCCTCATACGCAAGCACTCTATCCCTTAATTATTAAGTTACTCATTCACGCAAAGATAATATTTCCCACATACATACAGACACTTCTACACTTTCTCTCTCTATCACACACACAATTTCATCAACGTACACGCCTATCTTACACACAAGCACTCTCTTATACTAGCATAAATTCTATAAAACACACACACACAAGTACACACATAATCAGTCCCTTTCATACACAGCCATTGCTGCCATATCACATTGAAACATCAGTTCTCTTACGATCAACTAAGTTAAGCAATGTTGAGCCTCGTCAGTACGTATATGAGTGACCGCTTGGGAATACCAGGTGCTGTAAGCTAGGATGTGCAGGTGGTGTAATGAATAGTGGTTCGGGATTTTAAATCGGAGAGACGAGTTCCAGTTCCAGTTGGATTTGTTATATTCACTTACGCACAAATATCCTTGGGAAGGGCATGAATACAAATGTTCTAATCCCCCCCTCCGCTGCTATGAGTTAATTAGTAGGACTTGCATCTGAAAATCAGAAACAAAATTCTTACAATCTAAAAATATCTTCTGGCTTAAGTCGTAAAAAACAAACAAACAATCAATACAGTAATCATTCAAACACAGTCACTTTCTCTCTCACAGATCAATTTTTCTCTCTCTCTCTCTCTCCCATACACAGCGCATCACGCAAATCCGCATACACAAGCTCTGTTAAAAGCATACAAAATTATCCTACTCACGCACTGTCTCTTGTACACACGCAGGATCAGATTCATATATTCTTTCGATCGAGCTTGCTGTCACATTTTCTCACACACAATGTGTTTGGTTTGGTTTGGATTGGTTTACGGCATATCAACCTCAATGTGTTATTTAATGCTGACAACATTTTTAGGATAAGTTCGTATGAATAGAATATGTATCCTTTGGTTTAGTTTAGTTTCGTTTATTTTGTTTTATGGCATATCAACCTCAATGAGTTATTTAACGCCGACAAGATATTTAGGATAGATTCGTATGAATAGAATATGTATTCCTTGGTTTATTTTGGTTTGGTTTATTTTGTTTAACGGCATATCAACCTCAATGGCTTATTTAATGCCGACAACATTTTTAGGATAGATTCGGATGAATAGAATATGTATTCCTTGGTTTATTTTGGTTTGGTTTGGCTTGTTTTACGGCATATCAACCTCAATGGGGGTTATTTAATGTCGAAAAAATTTTCATTGTTGGTAATATTTTTTCCAAAAATTTATTTCTGGTAATATTTTTTCCTACAAAATAATCTGTTTCTGGTAAGAATTTTCCTTCGCTGGTTATATTTTTTCCCCCAAAAATGTATAGCTGTAATGTTTTGTCTTGTTTTTTTTTTTCAAAAATGTATTGCTGGTAATATTTTTTTTTCAAAAATGTATTGCTGGTAATATTTTTTCCTTCAAAAATTCATGTTTAGTTTGGTTTATTTTGTTTTACGGCCTATCAACCTCAATGGGTTATTTAATGCCAAGAAGATTTTTATTGCTGGTATTTTAAAAAAAAATTATTGCTAGTAATATTTTTTACAAAGCATTTCTGGTATCAAAACCTATTTTTACACTTTCATAGTGTTTTGAACCCAGTTTGGGTGTCAACTATTTGCCCATAGCTGAGAACCTAACAGGTGCTACCACTCCGGGTCAGGGTGGACCTGGGAACAACAGCAATTAAGAGGTGGTTCCATGCTCCTCAAAACCTTCTGATCAGAAGCCTTGCTGCTGGACGTAGTTTATCGTCTGACCCAGGACGGCACGCACAATCTGAATTTCTGTCTCTTCCACCTACGCGTATAAAAAACGCATTATCTCTATTTCCTCCTCACTCTTAGTCTTTCTCTCTCTCACACACACACCACACCCTTTCTCTTTTTCGGACACACACACACACACACACACACACACACACACACACACACACACACACACACACACACACACTCTTTTACTCGCCCAATATTTCATGCGAGCCCACTGTCGCTTTCACATAAGTGCGTTCGGCATTAAATGACCCATAAGGAGTAGTTATACCGTTAAACGCACAAATGAAATAAATGAACATAAACGCGTTTTTCTGCACATTTCCTGTCTCTTCCCCTGACACATACCCGCGGGTACTTTCTCGTTTCGACCTCCTCCTAAAAAAAAACAAAAAAAAACAACCTCACTCTTTCTCAGATACACATATATACTCCCTCATAAGGTTCCTCTTTCACACAGCCACCGTCTCATGCGTGCACACTCTCTCATCCCACACATACTCACCCCCGTTCTTACACACATTCACTCAAAACATTCTCGCTCTCATACTACTAAAAGAGATAGAGAGTAACTTGCGAAGTGTAAACCCTTCCCGTCATGACGGCATCGATCTCTTCGATTCCACACAAAAGAAACATTTTTCAGAAAATTGATATTTACAGTTCTTGTTCGCGCTGATAGTTTCAGGCTAAAGCCGTTTGGAAAAAAAAGTTATTTTAAATTTCGAAATGTCAGTTAAACTACTTCTACATGATATCTAACCCTAACCCTAACCCTAACCCTAACTACATCTACATGATATCTTCCAAGAAACGAAGGAAATGGTATTCATTTCTTACCGGTCGCCAACCTAAAATCTTTGAAAAATTACCAAATTACTTATAAATTGAATCCGGGTATATTTCTAACATATCCGCCTAAACTTGAAAATTTTATTTACTATTTATTTTATTTTTTCCTCAATAGGAGTAGGTAGGTTCGCCTATCATCCAGTTCACACTCCTCCTCGTTGTTTTTGAACAGGAATAGAGGCTTATCCATTGTTTCCTCTTTAGGATTGTGTTTCCGGTTCCTTCTAAAATCTTTTTCATTGTCTTTCACTGCCAGTAGCCTCTTGCATCTTAGTAGCATTATCTCCTTGCTTGAGGTGAATTGATTAAGATAAACGCCATTCCCTAGAAAACATCATAGAAGAAATGTTGAAGTTCTTCTTTAAATTTTACTGACCGTCTCATGTGAATTTCATTCTCTATTCTCGTCTCACTTGCAGTATCAAATTATTTAGACGTGATTTCATTTTTCGTTTATTGGTATTTATTAATTTAGCTAAGTTGGCACAGAGGGTCAATAAGTGAATGAATATAGTGTTTTTTTCTTAGTAATTTACTTTTTAGCCTTCTACCAGGACGGCTGATGCTAACCTCCAGGAGAGTGACATAGCATCTTGGGCTAATGTTTTCCACTGACATGAAGTGGAAAGATTATAGTAATAATAAAAATTGCAATATGAGCTCTGGTAAAAAAATGAAATGATATCAGCAAAAAATGCAATATGAGCACTGGTAAAAATGGTTGGTGAAGACAGGTTTATAGTACCCAGAAATTCATACACAGATGTCCTCAAGGACAGTGGATAAAGGCGTTAGTAAGATCCAGTGACAGGATCCAAAGAGTGTGAGTTCAATACCTGGTTAAGGCGAACTTGGAGAGGAGAGTGGAATTAACAGGGGATAACTGACATACATGGAACTAGAACAGTCTACCCCAGGGAGCGAAATAAAGGGTTCAGTTCGACATTCGACAACCACCTGAAGAATACCGGAGCGTACAACGTTGTGATAAACATGGCGACAAAGATTAGGACAATAGTCCGAATAATGTAAATAATAGTAAATCATAGACATATAGAGAGATACTGGAAATATTATATTGAATCTATTGCTAGGTCTGCTGCTAGTTGGTTAACTCTGCCGGACGAGACAATTTTTCCCGCCAGAATCTCTATTACACATTTTTACACACTTTTTTACACATGCTTTGAATTGCTGTCACATCTGGCTTGAAATTTCTGCTATATATTTAGAAATTCTTAGCAAAATTCAAGGAAGAATATTTATTTTTATTGATCCTGATCTGGCATTTTGACTTCAGTCACTTTCCCAACGCCGTGTTTTTATTATCCTTATTATACTAGTATTATTACTACTTATTATACTAGTATTATTACTACTACTAACAGTTTTACGTTCCTCCAATACACTAATTATTTCATATTCAACGCGAAACAAAAGGCTCGTAAAATAATTCAAAATAGAATAGTAGACATTTTTGACAACCTCGGAGAATCGAAATATATTATTCTACCCATCAAATCTATCGCAACTACAATTGAAAGGAATTTACCAAAGCTTAACATAAAATTTGTCATAGAGAGAGAGAGAGAGAGAGAGAGAGAGAGAGAGAGAGAGATATGCTCGTGTTCGTAGGATCTATGACAGTCTCCGGAAAAGGTACAGTTATAAATTATGTAATAATAATAATAAATATACATTTTTCTTCCCCGATATTACAATATAGTTCAATGCAATGGTGAAAAACAATAAAAGACTTAATACTAAACAAAATAATAAGCTAACACTTAAAGGAGGAATTTACTCAATCACCTGTAATAATTGCTACAAGGACTATATCGGAGAAACCTCAAGGAACTTAAATAAATTAAATATATGATCACAAGAGAGATATTTCACAAGACAACACACGAGATGCATTAGTTGTTAACTGTAATGGGTCTTACTATAATTTTTGATTTTAAAAATGTTACTTTAAATAAAAGAGAAGAAAAGCAATTTACTAAAACGAAAATGGATAGAAAGGGCTTTAATCGTCCATTGCACAACATCTGTCGCTTCATGTTGATCTCATTGTTATATATTTATATTTACATAGGCGCTGATATTGGGCACAAGGTAACAATAATTCTTTCAAACACGTTTGGATTATTAGTATCGACAAGTTCTGTCTCTGAAAGTTTTTATTATTTTTTTCGTAATTTCCCCAATTAGGATATATATATATATATATATATATATATATATATATATATATATATATATATATATATATGTGTGTGTGTGTGTGTGTGAAAAGTGTGTGTATATAAATATATATATACACTGCGTGCCAAATTATTATCGAGATAACTATTTTTCTAATATTTCAAAAACCGTCCAATCAATTCACCCATAATCTTCACACACTATTGGCAACACTAACCTGCGCAATCACTAGAATTTTCGTACTGATCTGCGCAATGTAAACAAACTGGCGCCATATTTGTTATCAGCGCGGTGATTTGAGCGTGCCAAATTATTAGAAAAGTGTAAGAATTTAGTGAAAAGATGGACCGTAAAAGCAGTTTAAGTGATGCTGAAAAGAAAACTATCACCTCAGAATTCTCAAAAGGTAAATCTACCCTAGAAATTTCTAAAATGATAGGGAGGTGTCATCAAATAGTGAAAAAGTTCACCGCCGACCCTACACAAGTACGC